TGCAGCTCCATCAGTAGCAGAGGGAGTGTGGTATCAGAAAACTGGCCTCAGTTATACACATACAGATTCCTTTTTTGATATCCTTTTCCATTATGGTTTATGACAGGATATTGAATAGAGTTCCCTGTGCTCTAGGGTAGGACCTTGTTGTTTATCCATCCTATATGTAATAGTTTACCTCTGCTAATCCCACACTTCAGTAAAAAAAAAAAAAAAGTTAAATTGGGGAAAAAAAAGTCCCTATCTAGGTTTCAGATCATAAAAAAAAAAAAAGAGAACTAGCCTTGGAGACCTGGGTTCACCCCCAGTCCTGTCACTCACTAGCCCAGGGGATTAGCCTGAGGCCACCCACGTGTGAATGGATTTAATGCCAGACAGCAGGCAGTTAAATTACAAGAGGAGCTAACTGCTGGGTGAATGACAGACTTCTGCTACTCTGAGACCTCCAACTATTAGCCAGTGTTGTTACTTGTCCTTAACTTGGCAGATTGAGCCGTTATTTCTGGAAAGAGTTTGTAATTGCAAGTCATGATCCAAATTTCACCAAGGATTACCCCGTGTATTTGATTCCATTTTGTTTCAGGGTCCTTGGTGGCCGGACAGACCACCTGTATTGTAACAGGTAGCCAACGTACCTTAAACATTTGATCAGTAGACGTCAGACAGAGTCAGACACCCCAACTGAAATGAGTTCCTGCTTCCCTTATTTCGATAAAGGATGGCTTTCTCCACTGCCCACACGTCCTCCTAACCCGCTCTCACGTTCCACCGGCCTCACTAGACCTCTGTGGGGTGAGGACGTGTGGGCAGTGGAGAAAGCCATCCTTTATCGAAACAAGACGCCCATGTAGCACCTCTTTCGTGAGGCCGTTCTGGGCAGTTCCAGAGACGGTTCACAGCTTTCTTGTCTGTGCTCCCTTTGGCGCCTCATTCATTAATCGCCAAATTTTTGAGCACCAGACCTGAGGCACCCAGGGAAGGAAGGGGTGCGTTTGGCTCGGGTGGAACACACACAGCCCTCAGGCTTCTTATGACGACGGCGACTGTCGTGTAGCTGTGGAGCCTGTCTCTCTCCTGCGATTCAGGAGCTCCCTGACCTGAGCACAGGATGGGATTTAAACGTGGAGCCCAGCACTGATCACACCGCACCAGCCGGGCTTGGAACGCATCCACGCAGGACTACCCCCCGCCCCCCATCCTCACCCGTGTCCTTTTCCTCCGTCCACAGGACTGGGCGGCACTAAGTACATCTCCTTCGAGGAGCGGCAGTGGCACAACGACTGCTTTAACTGCAAGAAGTGCTCGCTGTCGCTGGTGGGGCGAGGCTTCCTCACAGAGAGGGACGACATCCTGTGCCCTGACTGCGGGAAGGACATCTGAGCCCCTCCCCGACCCCCCTGCAGCGCCCCCAAGCCCCTGCTCGCGCTGCACCTGGCTCCACCCAGCCACCTGGGGACTTGCCTCCGCGCTGCTCAGCGCTGCTCAGTGCTGCTCACGTCTGTTTAAACCCTTCATCTACCCTTTGCGCTCATTCTGTCAGAGAAGGAGAAAAGCCATGGAAGCCTGAGGCGGGAAGAGGGTTTTGAGCTTTTGTAATCAGGCGAGGCTGATCGAAGTGTAAAAATCCTTTTGAGTGATACCTTTACAAACGCTTTTCTTTCACTGCATATTTAATTTTTCAGTGCAATTAATGTGTCACGAACTTGAACATTTCCAAGCTACGTAAGGTAATGAAGAGTTGGTATTTACAACAGTGTAACTTCCTGTCATGCGGGGCCCAAAGCAAGATTATATGGCTTACAATAAAGTTACCCAGAGCAAAATCTTTTGCCAGGCGCAGTGTGTGAAGTGGTGATGCAGCATTTCAGGTTCTGAGTATGAATAACACTTTACTGTGGGTGCCACTCATCACTCTGGTGGGCTGGGTGGGTGTCGACTGAAGCGGCATCACACCTTTTATTTAAGAGAAAGTCTCAGTTGGAATTTCTTTCTCTTGGAGTTCAGTGCTCTGCCTCTGATGCAGTGACACAGGCCCCGCACATGGGCTAACGGCCTCGCAGGCAGCATGGGGTCACTTTTCTGGACAGAGCTCGGTGCCCTCCCATCATCATGGGTCCGGACCTGACAGCAGCCTGCCTTCCCCTCCGTAAGTGGAGGGGTGCAGAGGCACACAGGCACCTCGAGGCCGGAAATGACATCTTGGTCACCCGTGTAGTTATCAACACCCGGGCAACTGAGGGCATCCTGGGAGACTTCAGCGAGTGTTTCTGAAAAGAGAGACAGTAAAGAGAGAGAATCGCTGCCGTCAGGATAACTCTCTTTTCCGGTAAACCTCTAAAAACGGTTCGCTACTCACTTGACCCAGAAAACCCCATAAACCTGTGCACATCAAGAGGTTCAAATCTTCGTGTTCACTTTAAGAACACGCGTGAAACTGCCCAGGCCGTTAAGGGTATGCATATCCAAAAAGCCACCAAAATATTTGAAGGATGTCACTTGACAGAAGCAATGTGTGCCATTCCGTCGTCAGAATGGTGGAGTTGGTAGGTGTGCCCAGGCCAAACGGGGCTGGAGGCAAGGTCGGTGGCCCAAAAAGAGTGCTGAATTCTTACTGCACTCGCTCAAAAATGCAGAAAGTAATGCTGAACCTAAGGGCTTGGATGTAGATTCTCTGGTCACTGAGCACATCCAGGTGAACAAAGCCCCCAAGATGTGGCGCAGGACTTCCAGGGCTCACGGTGGGATCAAGCCATACATGAACTCTCCCTGCCACAGTGGATGAGCCTCACTGAAAAAGAGCAGACTGTCCCAAAAGCAGAAGAGGCGGCTGCACAGGAGGAAAAGGTATCCCAGAAGAAACTGAAGTAACAAAAGCATATGGCCCGGGAATAAATGCCATAAGAAATAAATGCAAATAAAAGTAAAAAAAAAAAAAAAAAAAAAAAAATTAAAACTCAGAACCCCTA